TGCAAGACAAATAAATTCTTTAAAAATCATACAATGTGATTTCCTGAATTTTTTTTTTTATTCTGTCTCTCAGAGTGGGAATGCACCTACAATGTGAATTTCAGACCCCTCCATGATTTCTAAGTGGGAGAACTTGCAAAATCACAGGGTGTTCAAATACTTCTGTTCCTCACTGTACATACACGTGCCGGTTAACAGTGGCTTGTGAGAATAATTGTTTGGCATTTAATGTACCGTACATTTAAAGCAGCAACATTTTAACTGTAGCAAACATTGTAAACTAATCTGTATAGTATATACATTATGGGTTCCTGTGTTTGTCTTGCAGTTTCTCTTCAAGTTCTTGTCCAGCACTAACTCTCTATCTCATCTGGACCTCAGTGATACCAGCTGCCCTCTGGATACGGTCAGTGAGATAACAAACCTATCTGCTCCTCTCCTCCAAGACTGGTTGGCTGTGAAACATTGTGAAAAAAGCAGCTCACTGTTGAATGTTTATGCAGCCAGCCTGTAAATAAATGTAGCATGTGGCTCACCTGGCTTAGCATAAAGACTGACCACAGAGGGAGAGCCCATCTAAAGTAAAACTGCCTGGTTTGAATAAATCCAGATTTCTTAAGTTTGACTTGGTTGTGATTTTCCCCTTTTTGCATATAAGTTGTTCCAGTAGAAACCACAAATGAATATAAAACAAGAATGTTTTAATGTTGAATGGACCAGAATCATAATAGTGTTGTGATTGTGTGCATCAAAAGGTTAAATCAAGCATTTAGAAGCACTTTAGAGGAATTTTCAAAATGTCAAGATACAATATATATAGTGTGTCATGATACAACCTAAAAATATTGTGATATTATTTATAGGCCATATTGCCCAGTTCTACTTTTATACTGTAATATAGGCTAACATTTGTTGGAAACCAATTCCCCTTCATTTAGCAAACAAAGCATAATTCCAGTGATGCTTATTCAATTAAATTCAATTTTATTTGTATAGTGCCTATTAACAACAACAATCTGGCCACTTTACATAGTCATGTCTAGACACCTCACAGTATCACAGGCAAAACCCAACAAATCACCTTTGAGCAAGCACTTGGCAACAGTGGACAGGAAAATCTCCCTTAAATTAAACAAACCTTATCACGGAACTTGTTGAGTAAAGTATTTGTAAAAGCAATGCAGTGGATGTACTATAAGGGGAAAGGAATCTGCTGAAGATCAGGGTATAAATTTTTGTACTACTAGTATTAAATGAGTAATGAAGTCATTCTAACTTTCTCTTGCAGTTATTTGTGTCCCTGTCTGCTGGATGTTGTTACAAACTGATACACCTGAACCTGGCCAGGAATCCTTTCAGTCACAGGTTAGCTCCACTACTTCAGTTCTGCATGGAACTCACTGTAGCACTAACATATATAATAATGTACAGTGCCTACAGAAAGTGTTCACCCCCTTGGAGGTTTTACCCTTTTATTGATTTAATAATTCAATCATGGTCAGTATAATTTGGCTTTTTTGACTACAAAAAAAATACAAAAGAACCTCTTTAATGTCAAAGTGAAAACAGGTTTCTGTAAAGTAATGTCAAAAATATGTAATGGGAAATAAGTGATTGCATAAATATTCATCCCTTTAGAATGACCGACCTAATTCCACAGAGGTCCACCCAACTGGTGCTAGTGGTCTCACAATTAGTGAAATGGGATCACCAGAGTGTAGTGAATGTGTCTCAAGTGATTGTAGTATAAAGATACCTGTGTCTGGAAGATCCAGTCACTGGTTAATCACTATTCCTGGCTACCATTACACCATGAAGACAAAAGAACATTCCAAGCAACTCAGAGAAAAGGTTATTGAGAAGTATAAGTCAGGGGATGGATACAGAAAAATTTCCAAGACACTGAACATCCCCCGGAGTTCAGTTAAATTCATCATCAAGAAATGGAAGGAATATGGCACATGTCTAAATCTGCCTAGATCAGGCTGTCCTCACCAAATGAGTGACCGTGCAAGCAGGAGACTAGTGAGAGAGGCCACCAAGAAACCTACTGTATGACTGACTACTCTGAAGGATCTACAAGCTTCAGCAGCTGAGATGGGAGAGACTCTGCATACAACAACTGTTGCCTGGGTTCTTCACCAGTCAAACCTTTATGGGAGAGTGGCAAAGAGAAAGCCACTGTTGAAGAAAACTCATTAAATCTTGACTAGAGTTCACCAAAAGGCATGTGGGAGAATCCATGGTCAAGTGGAAGAAAGTTCTTTGGTCTGATGAAACCAAAATGGTGCTTTTGGGCCATCAGACAAGACACTATGTTCGGCGGACACCAAACACTGCACATCACAACAAACACACCACTGTGAAGTACAGTGGTGGCAGTATCACGCTGTGGGGTTGCTTCTCAGCAGCCGGCCCCGGAAGACTTGTAAAGGTAGAGGATAAAATGAATGTGGCTAAATATAGGAAAATCCTGGAGGAAAATGTTATTCAGTCTGCAAGAGAACGGCTTGGGAGAAGATTTATTTTCCAGCAAGACAATGACCCGAAGCGCACAGTGAAAACTACACAGAAGTGGTTTAAAGACAACAAGGCGAGTGTTCCGGAGTGGCCAAGTCAAAGCCCACACCTCAATCCCATAGAGAATTTGTGGCTGGACTTGAAAAGGGCAGTTCACACCCGATCCCTGCACAACCTGACAAAGCCTGAGCAGTTTTGCAAAGAAGAATGGAGTAAAATTGCAGTGTCCAGATGTGCAAGCCTGACTGAGACCTATCCACACAGACTCGGTGCTGTAATTGCAGCCAAAGGTGCATCTACTAAATACTGACTTAAAGGCGGTGAATATTTATGCAATCACTTATTTCCCATTACATATTTTTATTTAATTGACATTACTTTGTAGAAACTTGTTTTCACTTTGACATTAAACAGGTTTTTTTTGTCATAATAGCCAAATTATATTGACCAAGACTGATTTATAAAATCTATAAAAGGGTAAAACTTCCAAGGGGGTAAATACTTTTTATAGGCACTGTATTTGCACAGTTATCTGTGAATCATCTATTATAATAAGAAGTATTTCCATTATTATGTATTTAGATTTTCAGTGACATGCTCGTAATATATTGTTTATTTCCTACATCTTTAGTCAAATTTACTAGTCCAGAAACAACAGCAAGCAACTCAGTCCTTCTTAATTTAGTGAATGGACTAAACATGAATACCTGTAAAGGTGTCCACTTCTGTCAAAATGCTGAATTTTGTACTGTTTAACTGACACTTGAACATTTTGTTCATGTTTTGTTATGCTTTTAAAGTCAAGATGCAAATAACTTTATTAGTTCCAAGGGGAAATGTAATGCTTTGCATTATTACAATAATGCTCTCTGCTGAAAAAGAAAGGAAAAAGTAAAAAACCCACATGAACATCACATCAACAGAACTAACTAAAATGAGGGACACCTTAGACCACATGCGTCAAACTCAAGGCCCATACAAGCTGAGGCACAGTTGTCAGGGTTCATACACCACGGTGCACGGTCCATCCAGCTATTTGTTCATAATCCTGCTAAGCAACAAACACGTGGAACCAAAAAGATAACCTCCTTGAGGTAATAACAAATGTGCAAACACATAAAACAACAAGGTTAAAACAAAGTTGTGTTTTACTGCATCGTGAGATCAGGGAGGCGAGATCCGGCCACAGTCTGGTCCTATATTTACTATTGTGCTGTGCAGTTTATACTGTAATCTCACTCTCTGTTGGCTACTAACTAGTTAAGAGAGGAACATAAAAAACTGAAATTGAATCTAATAAATATAATGAAAATTATACTGCACTAAGTAGTAGCTACTTTACTGTTCGTTTTTTATTCATAGTGTGTCATTTTGAGAATATAGCTACTTGTTGTGAATTGTCGTATGAAAAGATGCTTCTGTGAAAAAACGCCTCATCAAAACAATTTGTGAGCTTCTTTGTCAGGCAACTTAAACAAATAAATTTGGATTTCAGTAGTTAATATTCTTTGCAACTTTACTGTGTTATCAAAAACATCAGTTGACCTTTCACTCCTCTGGTGTGGAGCATTAGAGCTGTGACGTCTGCAAGGACATGTCAAGGAAATGAGCAGCAGGAGCAGGGGGGAGGGGACAGGGTTGGGTAAACATAGAGACGAGCTCATACCTGAGAGGTGGGAATTGCGCTGACCACTTCATTTAAATATGCCTCTTCAGGCAGTTTGTGAAAATTCTCAGTTATCTAGGTTGTAGTATGCTGAAAAAACATCTGGACTTGGTTTTAGGTAGAAGACGTTTCATTTCTCATCCAAGAGGCTTCATCAGTTCCAGCAGTTGTGCTGTTTGTCCCTCTCTACATCTCCAAAGTGTGCTCCTTCTTTCATTCAGTTTTGTTTCCTTTTCTTTAATGGGTCCAAGACTATTGTAACTGTTGAACAAGTCTCCCAAAAATTACATCCCTATACTAAACTGCAAATCTTCCAACATAAAATTGCTTTCTGACAATTTCTCCAGCTCAACAAATAAATGAATCAGGGGATTTTCCAGTGGAATCTCGAGCTAATGGCCAAACATGGAAACAAAGGCCTTGTTCAGACCTGATATACAATACGTCCTACAGTATGTGATTGGATCTGACCTCCTCCGTTCTATATGCAAATAAACACATATCACATATCCTCTTGCAACCACCAAATGTGTTGTTATTTTTAACCACCAGAGGCAACAGCCAGAAATAAGACGAAGAAGATCCGCCATACAAATATGAAGAAGAAACTGAAACAATAGAGACGTCTGTTTATTGGTGTTCCAGGAAAACCTAATTGTCCAGAATATTAGATGTGCTCATACTGATTTTCTTTGGACTTTTCAAAGTCTTTCAATGTCGTGGACAAAGCCAGCTTACACAATTTGAGAACCAGCTGAAGATAATAATAAGAAGGAACCGAAGAAGAGTCGTGGCCTTTGCACCTGCTGTATGAGCCACAAGGCCTGAAAGTAGACTATTGAGGCATGCAAGACATGAGCGGCAGCTGCCCCGAGCAGCTCTCGCTTTATTTGTTAGCTTTTTTTTTGAGTCTTCTAGATTTTCTGTGTTGCTTTTTGTGCTATGTCGCTTTCCTGTAAACTTTTCGGATTTGGGCTACAAGGAATACAAGTTTTATTGCGTTTGCATTATGTTTTTATACTTTTTACGCGGTCTTGAGTCTGCCTGGGGAGGACCCTGTTTGCCAACAGTCCGCCATCAATGCCAGCAATCCTTCCAAGCTCCTTGTGGTGAGCTGCCGGGGATTTTCCACGGGGATGCGAGGTGGTGCGATGGTAGATGTGGGACTGCGGGGCTGGAGTGAGGCGCTGGGGGAGGAAACGGAGATATGGGCTATGTTTTTCATCGGTTCGCTCCCCTCCGCGATGAATGTACGAGCAGCTAGCTGCGCTGGTGGAGCTGCAACAGGGGTACGGCAAGAGCGGCCCTCTGTGCTTCACCGAGAGTTCTGGATCTGTGTTCTGTGGTGACGGTTCTTCACAAATCCCCAGGCCGGCTATGCTGCTATGCGCACGCAAAACACGGTGTCTCACCCGCGGACACAATACTGACAGGCCCAAATCTCCCATCTCGAGGACATTAAACCATGCTCCTACATACATACATATATACATTTCCTGCAGTGGCAGTGTGGTACCTGGCATCAGGGACAGTCTTCAAGACACTAGCCAAATTGTTTGGGATTGGTAAACTGACAATGTCATCTTGTGTGTGGGAGGTTTTTCGTGCTATATGCACATTCCAGCACCAGTTAATTAGCTTGCCCCAAGGGTACTGACTGTGGTAGATTGTGGATGGCATCGAGGGGAAACGGGTGTTCCTTCCCCTTCCAACAACGCAAAAGATTATTTCAACCACAAAAGAAGCTACAAGCTGTTATGGATCACCTCAATCGGTTAGTAGCACACACGCACACATACCCAGAGAGAGAAGCTATACAAATGTACTATGCTATATGTCTTTTCAGGTATAATGTGCAGATGTATAAATAGTGCAAAAAACATGTACATGTTACTTTGGGCTGCCCCATTGAAACCAGCCCCCTAATTGCTTGCCTGTTATCCTTTTTACCCCAACAACAGATTTACCAACATTAACGTTGCATGATGCAAGAGTGCTCCAGAACGCCACACTGTTTGATCTGGCAGAGTGTGGCAACCTTTTCCCATCGGTGAGGAATAATTTAGTAATGATTTGTTCATTTGTGCTTGTTCTATGCATTAACTATGGGGAAATCAAATTATTGACCCCAAGTGCTTTTGTTTTCATTTTCCTATTTAGGACACAAGAAATGAGAGGTGTGCAGGTGCCGCTCATGCTTTTGGGAGACCCTGCATACCCTCTCTTGTGCTGGCTAATGAAAGGCTATCCAGAGAGTGTCATCTTTCCAGAGAATAGAGGCACTTCAATTACAGACTGAGTCATGCCTGCATGACCATTGAATGTGCCTTTGGAAGACTGAAGGGAAGATGGCAGTGTGTTTGCTTAAGAAGATGGACATCAGTATCTTGAGGGTCCCTACCATAGTTACCAACTGTTGTGTCTTGCACAGCACAGAAGACTTTATTACAAGCAGTAGAGCAAAGGATTACTGACTGAGGCCGGGAACACTCCAGCTGATGTGAGAAGGTCCAGGTGAATTGAGGCGGCAGGTCTGGAGCTGGTCGGATTGTCGTCACAGGCGTCAGAGGGGTAGAGCAGAATAGCGGTAGGTTTGGTTGGACCTCAGGAGGTGGTGAGGTGATGCACAGGATGGATGCATGATCAGGAGTACCTGGGCAGTGAGAAGGAGCTTGCGGTAAGTAGAGGTTGCAAGGTTGAAGTGGTGTGTGGGGCGTTGAGGCATTCAGGTGAGAGAGTGTGGCTGATGCAGGAGCTAGCAAGGTCTTGGCATAGATAACAGGTAAGAGCTGACACAGAGCCAGCGGAGATAACTCAGCCTCGAGGAGTTCAGGAAACTGAGTCTCAGGAGCAAGCCAGGCAGCAATGTGGATAACAGAAAAGTACAGGCACTGGGCTAGAGGAGACATACCCAGTGTCGGAAAGTTCAGGGAAGCTAGTGAAACAGTCTCAGGTGCTAGCCCGGCAGCAATGTGGATAACAGGTGAGTACAGTCACTGAGTGAGAGGAGACTTACTCAGCGCTGGAGAGTTCAGGTAAGTTGATGGCTGAGAATGAGTGAGGGAAACCTTCAGGAAAACAGTCCTTTGGTTTTGGCCGTCTGGATGTAGCAAGAGCAACTAACTGACTGGCAAGGGTGACACAGCGAGCTCTGGCCATATAATGGAGATAATTAGCTCCAGCTGTGTCACTCCTTGCCAATCTCCACCAATATCATGCTCACTACTATATTATAACTTACTATATTATTGCAAGATTGCTTTATTTGTTACCTGACATAGTTCACACACCTGGAGGGAAAAGAATTTAACACGACAGAGTTAGATTTTTACCCGGTTCTTTTATTGAAAGCACAAAAAGTGGAGACAGAAGAGGACTGAATAAAATCAACAGAAAATTTAATCAAAGTGTAGGCACAGGTAAGACAAAGCAGCGCTGGGATCAGAGAGACAGAGCTCCCGCAGAAAATCTGTTTTCTGAACCACGAGGTTTTCTGGTTACATTTTTCTTCTCAGGCAGAGACCGCCCTGTACAGAGGTAAAACATTTCATGCTTTGTAATCCTATTGGCCATTTGGCATGAGCAGGTCAACCCCTGCCCGCGCCTGCTTGCTGAAATGTGATCTAAACCAGGTGTGTGTGTGTGTGTGTGTGTTGTGATTTTCAGGCGGCAGCTAATCAATGAACACTGAACAATTGGTTGTCTGCGCTGCAGACCCCGTATCTGTGTAGTCTATTACAGGACAAAGCAGGACCTAGTGAATATGCTAAACGGGCCAGGTGGTCATCTCAGGTTGTAGACCCCCTGTTTCTGCAAGATACTACAGTACATGACAAAGCAGAACTTGGAATATGCTAAGCGGGCCTAGGTGAAGATGCAAAACAGGCCAACAGGTCTGTGTTAAAATGTAAAATAGGCCATCTGGTTACTTGAAGGTACAGACAGCATGTCTCCACAAAAGTTGCAGCATACATTTCCAAAGTTTCACTCAGTAGAATATGGCAGTCATCAATACAGTTTTAATATATATATATAAGCAAGGAAAATAAAGATATGAAAAGTAACTAAAAGAAAAAGTTGTGAAAAGTAACTAAAGCTTATAAAGTAACTATAGGCTATAAGATTCAAATCTTATAGGCTGACCACAGCATTGTTAGCTCACTAGCATAGTTGCTGGCTATCATTAGCCAGCTAGCTAAAACAGTACTTGAAAGTAAGTTAAAGCATCATACCAACCTAGCCTGTGAGGTCCTCAGATAATGAACATTAACAACCAACCTTTCACTACGAAACCATCATATATAAAAATATAAATTAAGGGCTAATATCTCATCCGCAACTAACCATACTTACACTAACTTTAACTAGATACATACAGTACCATCACTCTGATTGTCATCACCCTGAACTACAGCAGAGTTGTTGATAACATTGGCCATCATTGTGGAATTTAGCTGAGGCTCATCATGGCTGCAGCCCAGCTCGGAGTCTATCATGTCTTTTTCTCTGGGGCCATAAGATAGTCAGTCTCTTTTGTCTGTTTTGTTTTGTCAGTGTAAACTGATACTTTATCAGTAAAATATTGCAAGCCAATATATTTTTTCCCTCCAAAATATAAGATCTTTTAGCACAAAATCCAGTTTTCTGACTACAGTATTTATTAAAATTGTTCACTCTCAAAGGTTTTGGTTAAGAGAGAGCAAAACATAAAAATGACATTTGAGCAAAATTCAGAGTTGAGTCAAACTCAAGTTGCTTGTTGAGACAGAGCTGTTCTTTATACCTTCGCCACCTTCGCACTTGATTTTTGTTTACTTTGTGTCATTAGGAAAAATGCCACATTTCATTCATTCAAAAATTACATTGCATCAGAATACAATCCAGCAGTCAAACGCGTTCCTTACAGAACGTATCTGCTTTTGCAGTTTAGAGACTGCGACTGAGAGAGTCTGTTATATTAGACAGTGCAGTATTACATGGCCGTTAATCTCCCGTTCTGCCCCTTGTGTTTTAATAAAGCTATACTGTCAATATCATTTAACAAAGTCCACATAAAGGCGGTGTTATGACAGCAGCTGTACAATATTTCAAGATTTCACATGAATGTTCGCAAAGATGTTATCCTCTTCATTCTAGCATACTTTAATATTTAGCTGCTATTTAATATTTCGTAACATAACTTAGGCATGTTAACTATGTTTAAAAGTTACTTGACTAGAATTGTGAAACCCAGTGTAACAATAATAATGTATCTGGTGCAGTACCTGTATGATAATTCTTATCACACAGGTGAGCTTTGTAATAAGGACATTTTTTTCTTGTTTTGTTACCACACTAACAAAACCTACATGTGTGTGTGCACAGAGCTAGTGTGCATGACCACCCCACACCCCTCTATGAGGCATCATTTGTGGGACATTGTCAGTCAGACAATTCTTTTGTGTAAACCGTGGCCTAAAAAACATCACTCTGCTGCTTCAGGCATTGGTTTGTGTGTGCATGTTTTTACAGTGGAATCTAGACATGCCTCATCAGGCAACATAAAGGGGGCTACTGGAAGTCTGATGGCAACCGCACGCCAGCTGAAAGCCACTCAGCTGGGATGAACAATTCTGAGTAGCTTCATCCATAACTTGTCATAGCAGGAAACGTGGTCCTCATTGCCATAACCATTTAAGTGTCTCAGTAAGCCCTGTCATTAAACCTGTAGCCACAACCCAAGACCCCACACACCTAATTAAATACAACCATTAATAAAATTTATTGATGATGATGGTGCTTTTCTTGCCACAGTGAAAAGGCAGCATGGACAATAACACAAAGGCGGCAATATTAAGGTAACATAGATGATCTGGCAAGGAGGCTGTGTACTCCAGGCAGGTAATGACTGAGATGACAAGCTGAGTCAGGACCGTACTGAGAATGACTAGTGGGCAAACTTGGCATAGCAGTGTAACTACTAGACATTTTATTATTTTAAAGTCAGCTGGTGGAATGAGATTCTATATTTCATAGTAGCACTTCTTCATGGTGTGGGTGCTAAAACTGCATTAAAAGAAAACTATTACTGTATTTCTGTGTGTGTGTAGAAAGGTACGAGAGGTGACCAGGAGCATTCAAGAGTTCTTCAGTCAGGGCTGTGAGCTGAAATATGTGGGCCTATCAGGGACCAAACTACCTCCACAAGCTCTCAGGTGTGTTTAGTCCCAATAAATACAATAACTTAATATTCCTTTTTTGTTTATTTATTTTTATGTGAATGTTCTTTCTTGACCATGGTGACTGTAGTTTGACATCATAGCCTAATCTGAACTCAAGGTCCACTTACAAACTGACATTATGCCAATGAGAGGATCTTTTATAAAGTGCGAGTTGTTTTCTCTGCTGCAGCATACATATCTGCTCTATAAGCCACCAGCTCTGTGTTCAAGTTTAAGAGAAAAAAACTATCTGAAGTAAAATGTAATGCAGTGTTCCCAAGGGTGGGCTGGAGAGGCACCCGGGCAGGCGCTGCCAATAACTAGAAAATTAGCAGGCCTGTGCTGCAGTTCTATCGAGTGTTAGCCACCATGTTGGAAGGGTTTTTTGCCCTCCAGGGTTGTGTGCCAATCACCTCACTAAAAACAATGGTGAGGAGTGCTTTAAAACATTCCTGTAACTGGATGATGATTTAGATCATCACCAAATTCTAATCAACTGTTATTTGAGCCATACCCTACCTCTCCAAAACAATGTCATCCAAATCCATTCATTACTTATGCAGTTATGCTGCGAACATCCAACAAACAAACAAATGTTGGTAAAAATAAATAAATAAAACTTGGCCGAACCCTAACTGTACCATGTGAAGAGAAGGGCTCCAGACAGACTCTTGACAAGATTGTAACAGTGGAGTATTGGCTTACTGGTCTCCTGCTTTGGGCAAGACTGTTTCTGAGCTCCATAAAATCCACTCTGACTGTGCCACAGCTGTTATTATAAGACATGCTGCCCACATACTGTAAAACATGGTGCCCACACAATCCTACATGTACACAGATACTTGGTATATTGTAGCAGTGTACATTCCAACACAGTCATAAAATGACCCCTAATCACCAAAGCAAGTGATAGCTCATGTGTGGGTGGACCATGGATGTGCAGGACCTTTAACTGGTCCTAGTAAAAGAACAGCTGACTCCAGTCTGACCCCTCTCTGTGCCTCTGAATGACTGATTTCCCTCTTCTACTTCATATTACTGTTTTGTTTTCCAGTTCCAAGAATCTTTTTTTCCCTCATGTCCCAGTCTTCCATTCCCCATTCTCTAGAGCTCCAGATTGCCGCCTTCTTCTCTTCCAGCCACATATGTAACACTGTTTACTTGGCAATGTAAAAAATGGTTCTAGGAGTTAACAGTGGTGGTTTACCAATACTGTCTGATGAGTAATTTGTCTCCCGCCACTGTATCGAAAGTCTGCTGGAACCCATTACCAGAGACAGAGTACATGGGCACATCCCAGGTCCCGTATTTGATCATTGTTTGGTCCTTGCTTGATACATACAGTAAATCGTTCCCAAAGCTCTTATTTCTGCTCTGAGCAAGGAGGGTTCTCTGTGGAGCCATGAGACCATCTTTCATAGAAGTTTTGACTGACTGACTGACACACCCCTTTATTAGCAACCTGTTGGTGATTGGATGCTGCTGCTAATTCTACTTTCTAACAAAACAGAAGAATAATAGAACCAACTCAAGCATATTAGCCAAATCTTGTAGATTGTATTTGTTTTCAGATTCACCATCTAGATCTGTATGTCTGGATGAAGCATTAACAACATTCTTCATTCAGCAGAAATATTTTTCTTTGCCTGTTTTGTTATTTCCCCTTTTAATCTTTATCATGAATAATATGAATTAGTCATGGAGAGGCAGCAATGAAAACCTCAAAAATGTTTAATGGTGTTTGTTTCATTGTTTCCATTCATTCACATGTGAAGCTGAGGTAGGACTGTAGTTTGTCTATGTCAGGGACCAACCAGTAACCAGAGAACACAGCTTTTAAAAGTTAAAAAGATGGGCTTTTTATTAACCTAAAAACAAGGAAAAATACATACAACATCAATATCAAATAAACTGGGCCCTAAAAGAGGTCAACAAAAGGTAAGGAAACTCAAAATGCAGCAAACTGAACTGCACAGTATCTCAAACAAAACCAACTGACCTAACAAATGACACACACACACACACACACACACACACACACACACACACACACACACACACAGGGGAAT